CTGATATGGTAAAACAATATGGTATGGAAAAATGTTCAGTTGAACTAAGGATGACAAATACGGGACAAAATGGCAAGATATAATCACAAGATAATGAAATGGCATATACTTGTTTAAACATGTCAAGGCATTTGATTCAATTGAAAATTTATTTCGTGGCTTATTTGCTTAATTACTGTTACTACAGTCACTCAGTCCAGAAATTCCAGAAATCATAATATATCATACTTTTGAAGATGTTTGGACTATATTTAAAACTCAAAACATTAATTAGCACATCAGAGAATTTGTGTTTGCTTATAAAAATTTCAAGTAAATAAAAGATTTGTGTACACCATTACTAACACAAGCATTCCTCATGCCCATCACTATCATCACCGTCATCATCACTATCATCACCGTCATCATCACTATCATCACTGTCATCATCACTATCATCACGGTCATCATCACTATCATCACTATCATCACCGTCATCATCACTATCATCACCGTCATCATCACTATCATCACCGTCATCATCACTATCATCACTATCATCACCGTCATCATCACTATCATCACCGTCATCATCACTATCATCACCGTCATCATCACTATCATCACCGTCATCATCACTATCATCACCGTCATCATCACTATCATCACCGTCATCATCACTATCATCACTATCATCACCGTCATCATCACTATCATCACCGTCATCATCACTATCATCACCGTCATCATCACTATCATCACTATCATCACCGTCATCATCACTATCATCACTATCATCACCGTCATCATCACCGTCATCATCACTACCATCACTGCCACCATGGTCATCTGGTCACTAACGTAGTGATTGACACATCGATCGATCAGCTGGAAGAAGCCAGTCAGGCCGTCAGGATCGTTGCTGCTGCTGCTTGTCGAGACCAGTAACTGCGAACACACTAAATAACAATAATAACAACAACAATAATAACAACAATAATAATAACAACAATAACAACAACAACAATAATAACAACAATAACAATAATAACAAAAGTAACGATCGAAACCAAAATCCTCAAAACTGAAATTGAAAAATTCTAACATTTCCCAAGAACTCTAGTAATATGGTGAGGCAAATTTTCATTTTCCTCAGCACAACCACTACCGCTACCGCTACCACTAGCTTCCGAAACGGACGGCAAAATAGACGACGACGATGACGATGGTGATGAGATTTTTAATGTTATTGATCTACCCTGAATGAGATTATCCTTTTTATTGGCGTTGCAGTCAGTCTTATTAAGTGATGTGTTGCTAGTGCTTTGAACGTTATTCACATTCGAAATTGATGTCTTTACTGTTGTGGTTGTTGCGAAACTAGATTCATCGCATATTGTGGATGCCGTTGACGCGTCTGTAAGATGTTGCGGCTGTTGTGGCGACAATGCGGACGACGACGACGATGCGAGTGGACAGTTGCTGATGGGAGCAAATATGATTGACTTTAACTCTGCTATGCACTGCTTCACGTTCTGACCTGACAATATGCTCTGCATGTGCCATGTTTATCTCTATCATTATTCAGTCAGAATGATTTCATTTTCAAATTAAAAGAATTCAAAAACCGTGACCTATTAATGTATTTGGCTTGGTTATTAACTGACCCATTTGATCTACAAATAATAATTTGACCTAATTATCGATTGACCTATTGCCGTGACCTACTTTTTCAATGGCCTTGAGTGTTTCAGGTCTTTCCTGAAGTTTCTTTGTATGGATGAGGATTTTGTTCTTTGCTCCTTTAGTAACACCCTGTCCAACAAAATATTTTCCAATATTTATTTTTGTATCACAGGAGGCGCAAATTTTTTTTATGGATTTTTTAGTATTCCGTTCTTCTCTTTCAAGTTTGTTAACGATTATGTGAAAAAAGAACATAAGAATGATTGAGCCATATAATACTTTAATGTCAACAAACCAATTATAATTAAGTAAGTGATTGATTGGTTGGTTGGTTAGTTAGTTGGTTGGTTGGTTAACACAAATAACACAATAGCGACGTCATCACAGACCTGTTTGGTTAGCCAGTCATCAGTGAGCTCGATCATTTCTACGTAAGTTAACTTTTCAAACAGTAACGAGTACTTGTGCAGTCTCAATGTTTTCAGCCACTGGGATATGTCTAAAAAATTAAATAAATAAATAATTAATTAATTAATTAATTAATAAGCATTTAAGTGAATTTATTTCAAAAAAAAGATCAAACAGAAACAAAAAATATCTAAAAATAGCCACCAATCATAGCAGGATCGAGGATTTCACTGGTGACATGTGATTCGCTGCAATTACTTCCTGTTGAAGCCCCACTGCTCTGTGGGGATAGAGGGGTGTGGTCTGCTGTCAGGTGAGCTGTCAATCATTATAATAATTTGCTCTACTTGAATAAACTGTGAAATAATAAGAACATGATAATGAGTTTAAATAATAAATTAAATTACATTTGTAGGCGGAGCTTTTTTGGACAGCTGACCAATCAGAAGAGAGCATTGCCTGTGATGTCATCAATGAAGAGGACGACAACGTAGTTGTTGCAACTGCTGGCAGAACTGATGCAGTCCGTGTTAATGCTTGATGAACCCTTGTAGTAGCTGGTTCATTAATGATAATTTATGCATCAACTAATTAGTAGAAAAAAATGAAAAAATTTAATATTAGCATCCAAATAACAAATAATTTATAAATTTATATGCGATTATAGACACACACAAAAAAAAAACACACACACACATACCTACACACAAAGACATGCAATGAAATACATACATAAATATATTGTAAAATCTTCAATAGCAAAAAACAAAATATTACAAAAAGGTGTTCAAATATTTAAAATATTCATATACAAACGTCTTTCATTGGCTGTCAACGATTTAATGACCTTGACATGGCCACTGCAAACCGGTTCATCAGCACTCTCATAATCAGGATTATTTTTAGGGAAAAATCTGGCATTGTTGCTAATGTTTAAAGCTGATTGAAAATAGTTTGATGTTGTTTCGTTGTTTATTAAATCCTTCTGTTCATTGCAAAGGTTCTTTTCTGTAAACTCTCCAATGTATCCAAAAGCAGACATAGGAAGATTATTAATGTTACTAATGTTGTTGATGTTACTGATGATGTTGATGCTGTTGGACATTAGATTTGTATTAATCATTGGCATAGCTTCCTATGAAACAAAAAAGATAATTAAAAGTGAAAATTTCATATTGAATAAAGAGTCATACAGTTTTTAGGATGCATTTTCAAGATCTATATCACATCATGAATTGACAAAATGAGAAAAATGCAATATAAAAATCATAGAATAGAATAGAAAAAAATTCTGAACCTGAGAAAAATTCATATCTATGTTATAAGGATTGTAAGATGAATCCATGGCATTATTCCCAGCACAGCATAAATGATTCAAATACAGCTGCAACTTAAAAAGGTCTTCTTTATTTGTTGAGGGTAACAACGAAAGATAATAAATAATTTGCTGGATCTGACTAACATACGACAACATCAGTGGGGATGATATAAATGACGAAGAAGATGAAGTTGATGATGACATCGTCGATGATGAGGATGATGATGAGACTAAAGAGATGTTTGATATTATCTGATACAAGGTGTTTATATATTCTGTCGTGGTAGGCGTGTTTGTCGATTTCAATAGAGGTAGCAGTTTGGATATTTCTGAAAGAGAGTTGTCTACATTCTCAAGAGCCAAGTTGGCTATATAATCTATCAAGTAAAAAACATGATCTTTCTTATATAAGTAAAATTTTTTCAAAATATAAAAATAAATATAATATATTATATTACAAGAAATGATGATTTAAAACTTTTCAACTATCCTATGGTTAAAAATTTTCTTGTTTCAACAACAGCAATTATGATTAATTAATAATATTGCATCACCAGGTATATAACTATTTATTTACTCCTTTCATGCATAATATTAAAACATTCAAACAAACGTAACAGCAACAAATATTACAAAGCCAAACTAATCACTTGTATCATTAGCTTGGTACTCCAACAGCTCAATATCCAAACTGGTGTTGTTAGTGTTTGGAGTTTGTTGGGGCAGAATTTTTGAGAGGAAGACAGCCTGATTGGGGCTCATCTTCTGAATTAGGTTGTACATCGCTAATACTTGCTCGCACTCGTTCCAGTTAGAGAACCATTCACTGGCCTTAAGGAACTGATCTTTGAACGGACTCGACGACGACATTTTTCTTCCTTCTGTTCTTCTTCGTGTTCTCCTTCTTTTTGATCTTTTTGTTGCAGACGGACCAGCATTGAAATGCCGAAATTCATTTGAAAAAAATTGTTGATAACTTTGATTCGCTTGCAAAAAAATTTATTCTAACTTGTGAATTTGAAAAAAAAAGTTAAATTTATTTGAAGGTGTTTAAATAAATTCAAATGAATTCGTAAAAAGTTAAATTTTGGGAAAATCGCATTAAAAAAACTAAAAATAGACCAGACAACAATTTCAATGACGTCAGTGGAGAAAGTTGCTGCTTGTCAGATGATAAGCTGGTCAAAATATTGCATTTTATCATCATTTTATATGCAAAATATTACATTAAATTTATTAATTACGTCAAAATATCATTTTTATACGTGTAGCAATGATTTTTCAATGCTCTTTTGTGAAATTTGTGTGGTCATATACGTAAAATATCAAATTTAATAGTGAGAGAAATGTTTATAACTAAACCATATAACAAGCTAAGAATTTAATCAAATAACCAAACACATACAATTTAAACAATGTAGTTAAATTAAATTAATGATTCTATAAGTAAGTTTATTTTGTTTAAAAATATTTTAACGGTTTTGACTTTCCATGAAAATTTCTTACTCTGTTACCTTTTTAACTATAAAATAGTCCAGCACTGTTATGTTCGTTGTTATGATTCAAAAAGTAAATTCGATCTTAAGTGATGGAATTAAATTATATCGGAATGGATTCGTCCAAAAAAGATGAAAGAGAAGAGAAAGAATTCAGTAAGGTGTCCGATAAAAACTGGCAGAAGTATCGTTCGTTGAGGAATAAATTAGATCTGCTGTCGGAAAAACAGAAAAAGAAGTTAGTATAAATAAATAAAACTATAAAAATATAAATTATAAAATATATTTATATATTATATAAAAAAATGAATAAGTAGAAGTGACAAATCATGAACAAATCAACTTCTTTAATATTAATTTTAATTTTTTCTCCTTATTTTAGTTCAGTGTTTAGTCTATTTTATGATACATATAAATATGAAATAAATATAATATAGTATAGAGTAACTATAGTTATAGTAGTAGTGGTCGAAGTCCAACATAAACTTTGGTCTAGCTAGAAGTTAGAGCTAGATTCTCAAATTATAAAATTAACTCTAACTAGTGAAAAAGAGCTAGAGAAAGAAAGAGAATTATTAAATATTTTAATTGATTAATTGATTGATTGGTTGATGATTACATTTTACACTATTTGAATATTGAATATAATATTAATTTAATATTAATTAAATATTTAAAACCTATTTGATTTTAGAGAAGAATTGAAAGCAGCAAAAAAAAAGAGACCTACCTGTGAAGAAAAATATTTGAATAAAGATCAGCCCCCCACAGCAGATGCAGAGGATATAGAAAAAGTTAATGACAAAGGTGATGGTAAAAAAAATGACTCCAACTGGCTAGGTTAAAAATTTTTATTTATAATTGCTATTATGATCAAATGTTACATTAAACTTATGTGATAAGATTTATACACATGCACTTTTAACAATAATTTTTAATTTTTTCAAAAATTTTCAGAATTGAGGCCTTACATAGACATTAACAGCCATCTGATCAAAACTACAGGCACAACGAGAAAACCTAAAAATAGTTTAGAGAGAAAAATTGACGAGGCCCTCAGTAAAAATGAAATATCAAAAGCTTTCGAACTCAACGACAGATTGGCTAGCAGAGAATTCAGCAAGAAAATTATTGAAGCCTGTGATGCCAAACGATATGTTGAAAAGTTAAAATCAGTTGAGGAAATGAAAAAAAGCAAAAAGAAAAGAAGATATCCTTGGGGCTTTGAGCAGAAACAAAGATGGGAGACAAAGGGCAATATGTGACACTGTCTAAATTATCTATGTTATTTGTTCATTTGTACAGTTTACTTCTTAACGTTTATATTTTACTCTTTACTTTACTATTTACTGGCTATTTGAATTATTTTTCTTAAAATTTGTAACTTTAAAACTGTGAAATTTTTTTTTTCAATTTTATTATTTATTCATTCAGTTGACTGAATGCATGCCATCTCTTTATGAAATTAAATATTTCGAAACTGAAATCCCTTAACATGGGTACTTATTCTTAAGTACATGGGAGTACAATGCTTCAATGTTAAACATGTTATTGACCCGTTATAAAGTTTTTTTCTATGGTGTTTGTATTGTACGTGCATGTTGTAGGCAATACGTGTATGTTATGTGTGTGTTTAGTTGCATTGTTACATTTTTTCGTGTTAATAGTTTATAAATAAATTAATTTTTTTTAAATTTTGTAAACGGATTGCATCGTTTTTAATCGTAGAAGTCACTAAACGGAAATGATGAATTCAAAACTAAAAAGAATTAACATTTCAAAAAATATTCTCGCATCATGCCCACCCGCTAATTTTCTTACACAGGAATTGAAATATAGTCATATTTAACAATTGCTTATTTGCTATCGTTAGTAGTGTCAGGCCACATGCCTAGAATACGTCGTTATCGCGTTACCATATCAACACCGATAATGGCACATAATTTGTTTTCAATGGCAGCCTATCTAGCTTATCATTCAATAATTAGGGTAAGATAACGTATTTGTGTGTGCGTGCGTGTGCGTGTGCGTGTGTGTGTGTGTGTGTGTGTGTGTGTGTGTGTGTGTGTGTGTGTGTGTGTGTGAAATGTTGTGGATCTGCTTCTGGCTAGTGGCGTGACAATTTGTAGATTAAACTTAATTTTAGTAAGCCTCAACATTCATGGCGTACTTAGAAAATAACATGTAAGTGCACAATTATTCTCTATATATGGAGCATGACATAATGTTTCAAACCATATTTGTGATTTTTTCAAACTAAATGGTTGTTGCAATGTTATTAATAATACAAATATTTATTTAAATATTAAAAAGTTTATTAATTAAATGTTGCTTCAGAGATACCTATTGATGCAGCTTATGGCTTCCTTCTTTCTTCTGACGATGACAATGCAGATTGCAATAAAATGTTCATATGTATCAATGAATGTGTCGTGTTTTTCTTTCAATTTATTCTATTGTGTTAGATCGTAACCCTACTGTTACAATCTGTTGTGTTGGTAACGCTGCTATTGTTATGTTCTCTTGTGTCTGTAACACAACTAGTGTTATATTCTGTCGTGTTTGTTAGCGTTTAGATCGGTTACCGCGCTTTAAGAAATCGCGAATAAGAAGCGTTTTTTGGTTTTTAACCAAATCTTCATTCACGATACTACTCATTTGCAGAAGTGTACCAAACTCGAAACCTTCAAAGGTTAACAAGCAAATATGAATATTGGAATAAATTTAATGTAAAACAAACGCGAACGAATGAAAATAACTGAAGTTTCAGTTTTGAAGAAATTTCTACCGCTATGCCATGCACTTACACGACACACTTTCATATAACATTAGTTAAACTATCAGCCATTATTGACATATTTCTCATTTACATCGTAGATTTTAGATTACTCATTTTTGATAAAGTAAAACATGGCAGTTCATTCATTTTTTGTTTTTCATATCACTTTAGACAGGCAGTAAACTTTCTGTCATTCTTTCTTTCTTTCTTTTTCTTTCTTTCTTTTTTTTTCTTTCTTTTTTCTTTCTTCCTTTCTTTCTTTCCTTCTTTATTTCTTTCTTTCTTTCTTTCTTTCTTTCTTTCTATCTTTCTTTCTTTGTCCAACGAAATAGACTTGTTTTTATCGAATTCAGTGGCCTGTTCTGTCATTGTTGATACATGGGCGTTTGCATATAAATATTTCAACCTGGATGTTTTAGAGTCAATTTGTCTCAATTAAATAATATGTATATGTGTAATATACATATACATTATATTTATACATTGTATATGTATACATGTATTGATGTTTAAATGTGTCAATAATGCAGCACCTCCATATCTCATTGATAGATTGGAATCATACAAATCTCATTTTTCAAAATATTCCTTCCGATCAACCGAGCGCAATTTATTTTTTATCCCGACTACAAATTAGCGGTGGGTTCCCGCGACTTTGCGGTTCTTGACCCGGTTGTTTGGAATGGTTTACCTCCTTACTTACGTGACCCTAACCTATCATATTTACAATTTCGAAGTCAACTTAAAACTTATTTATTTGCACAACGAACGTCCGTCTTATTTGTCTATGATTCAGTAGCGCTTTTGAGATTCAACAATTAAAAAGCGCTGTATATAAATTTCTGTAATAATATATATATATATATATATATATATATATATATATATATATATATATATATATATTATGACATTATAAAAATATTAATTACTCTATACATGTTTAATATAGTATTAATACTATTAGATGATTGACATAATTGCAAGAGTCCTTTAGAAGTGAACTTTATAGCGTAAAATATCAACTGAACAAAACAAGACGCACTTATATTTACGTACTATTTTAATGAGACATCCGTAAATTTCTATACATGAATTCACATATCATGACAGAAACAGCAACACAAAACAACGACGTTACGTGAATAAATATTACAGTTTTTTACTAAAATGTTGACAAATAGTATTTTATATACGCAAGATTTTAAATACTTGAAGTGAAAATATGTATATCATGTGTTGTCAATGTTGGTTGGTTGACATTCTAATTAATAAGGATATCACACTTTGATGTGTAAGAGTACCACATATTATATAATGATGTGAATGTAAACATTGGTGAACACACACACACACACACACACACACACACACACACACACACACACACACACACACGCACGCACAAACACACACATTTATATATATATATATATTAATTTACTTACATACATACATACATACATACATACATACATACATACATACATACATACATACATACATACATACATACATACATACATACATACATACATACATACATACATACATACATACATACATACATACATACATACATACATACATACATACATACATACATACATACATACATACATACATACATACATACATACATACATACATACATACATACATACATACATACATACATACATACATACATACATACATACATACATACATACATACATACATACATACATACATACATACATACATACATACATACATACATACATACATACATACATACATACATACATACATACATACATACATACATACATACATACATACATACATACATACATACATACATACATACATACATACATACATACATACATACATACATACATACATACATACATAATGCATTCATACATACATGAATTCACATATTATGACAGAAACAGCAACACAAAACAACGACGTTACGTGAATAAATATTACAGTTTTTTACTCAATTTTGAGATTTTATTAAAAAGCGATTTATAAATTTTCATTTAATAATTTCATTTAATAATAATACATATATTCTCGTTTTGGTTTCTCATATATATTCATAAGTATTTGTATAGCGCTATATACATATGTCAATTATATATCACAGGCGGTGTTTAGCATTGACCTTCTCACAGTAATGTATGTATGTGTTTGACTGAGTCTGCCATGTTTTTTTATAATTTGGACTAATTTCTGTGTTTTATTCAATCGTTTTGTGAGTCTAAAAATTAAATATTTCTTGTCGTAAAAACATCTAAAAGTTCAGTATTATAATTTGTGTTTTATATTATCTTTCTATTATTCCGGATCATAATGACCATTCACCCAATCAAGAATGTGGAAAAGAGTGAAGCTGATGATGGTGGCAAGTTGACGCCCCCTGAAGTTGTTACCACTGACGCTGTTGTTAGTTTATTTTAAATTGCTTAACTTGTTTATTATATATTCGTTTAGAATTGTTTGCTTTTTGTTGTGCTTCGAAAAAATATAGCTAAACTGGGAAGGAATGTAAATGTAAGTAATCAAATAAAAAAAGTAATTGTATTCTCATTTTTACTTTTTTTACTTAGTAGTTTTTTACATTTTTATCATAAAATCAGTAAAACTTTACATAAAAGAATCATTTTAAACAAAGTCTTACTTAATCATAGCTGTTCTTTAGACTTTAACTTATTCATGTATGTGTGTGTATTAAATTAATATTTGAATGTCATGTTTAAGTTTTAGTTTGTGCTATGTGATAATATAAATTTAATAATTTTCAATATAAATCTTTTCAGCTCCTCTTGGACACAAACAGATTGGAGCATTCCCTAGCTAGCCAAGCTGCTAAGCAAGCAAAACAGGAGCTTTTCACAAGGGAGCTAATTAGGACAAGACGTGCTGGTACCTTGCGTCTTCTCGCTATCTGTCTTCTTATTCCAATTGCGTTGGTCCTTCTATGTGGTTGTGTTTTGCTCTACAAACATGTCAACCACAATAAGGTTTTTAAATTTTTTCATTTTGAATTGAGTTTTATTTGTAAATTAAGTCCTTGTGTTAAACATGAAGTTTTTGTAAATACGATCTTCATTATTTACTGTTAACATTTTAATAAACGTTTCAATTTAACCGTAAAACAAATTTTGCCACTTTCTTAACCACATAATTTTTGCCATTTTTTTTAGCCGGAGATGAGCTACTATGGAAGATGTGGTGTGGATTTTCATGAGGTGAACTTAATGATAAAGGACCTGGAGCTTCCGCCGAATGGCTACTTTGAGCAAGAGGTTGAAATTGAGAAGGATGTAGAAATTATAAGAGTTCCTCCATTGGGCAAAAAAGTTCTACCATCTGTCACTATATATGATTTTTCTGCTGTAAGTTATTAATTATTAATTTTGTTATTAACAATATTATGAATCATTGATATTATTATTATTAATTATAACACATATTATAGTTTTTGGTATCCAGATAAATTAGAAACAGATTTTATTAAAAAAATTTTTTTAATATAATTTTTTATGTTTTAAAATGAGGGTGTGTTCAGTTAAATATGCTTACAAAATGCTAAAATGTGCATGCAAAAAAATGTCAAAACCATATGTTACTAATCTCGATTCACTAATTTACTGACTTGAATTTTTACATTAACTCTGAAGAACTATTCGACAGTGGAAGACGAAGTAAACAGGTTGTGCTACATAATGCCCATGGACAAGTCAGCAATCCAACAACCTAGAAATTTTCTGGATACTATTGATATGGTTAGTTGGTTTTTTTCTTTGATTTGTTGTTTTATTGTTTTGTTGTTTTATTCTCTCTCTTTCTTTCTCTCTCTCTATATATATAGTAATTGTTTTATTTCAATTAAAATTCATTTATTATTAAATTTAAAATGGATCTCTAATTAGATCTTAATTTAATCTAAAATTTATATATAAATCCAGACATTGAAGGTTTTTAGGATGATGGAGATGGTTGATACAAAGTACGAGGTCCAGGTGCCACAACTTACTGAAGAAGAGCTGAAGAAATATGGAGAGAGAGCTTTTAAAGCTTGTAAGAACTACCGTTCATTTTTGCTTGTCAAGAAGAACTCATCTCAAAAGTCGTCTGAATCGTCACCTAAATCAAAAAAGAGTAATTCTTTCTTGGCTTATTACATTACATTCATTCATTGTTGACAATCTCATTTTTGCACTAATTAATTAATTACAAATAGATATGTTACGTTATGTTACTCAATATGAACTTGCAAAACGATGTAAGAATAACAAAATTTCTTAAAAATAATAAGAAAAAGAATAATTAATAATAATGATGATAATAAAAAAATTTTTTTTTCTCAGCAATCATAAAGAGGGAGGCACCATGCCCCTTCCAGGGCCTCAAATATTGTAAAGGGGTAACCAAGGATGGGTCACTCAGTTGTTTCTCCATTGAGGGGTGTACCTAAATACCTTCTTCCCCGGTACTAAATACTCTCATTATCATTGTTGATCGGTGAAGAAGATGATGATGCTGATATGATGTTGATGGCAAATTAATATTGACTAATTGGAGAAACAATTATAATGATAATTAATTAAATGATTGTATTAATATGAATGGGAAGCTGATCGTTATAATTATTAATGATAATTGTTATCGGTGAGATAACGGTGATGAGATACTGATGTGATGATTAGATGGTGATAATGATCACATGCGTTTCCTATGGTAAAAAAAGGTGATGATAAAACTATTTACATTTACAAACTTGAATAAGAATATTTGTATATTATATGATGTGTGTATGTTATATATATACATTATACATACATACATATGTATGTAGCATATATTTATATATATACATCTTTGTTTATCTTTACCAGAAACTGTTGACTCTAGAAGTATGTGTGTGTGCATACTTACATACGTGTATAAATTTCTATATACTAGCATACTTTTATATGCATATATCTATATTATAACTATATCTATATTATATAACTGTATGTATGCGTAAATAGATATTGACAATATTCCACATAACAATTAGCTCTGCTTCTATAAATCTTTTTTTTTCTTAGATTTTCATTCGTTTTTTCTATGAATTTCATTATGACAAGACTGTTGTTATTTGTCACGAGGCAAGATAAATTTTCTGCATTTTAACACATTTTGAAAGATTTGTATTAGTGCACGTCTGTTGCATTTGAAAACAAGTTTTTTTTTGTGAAAACAAATTTTTGAAATTATTTATCATTTATTTTGCGTTGATACTAAGTCAATTTGAAATGCATTTGATACATGTAACTTGGATTTCAAATTGAAATGCATTGAACACAACCAGTAGATAGATATATTTTCTAAGCTAGCCAGTGAGGTACACAGAGTTTATGCAAAAATATGTATATATGTATATAAAACAGCGGTGCTCAAGAACAAATTAATTATAATTCAATTGAAATTCGATATAATTACGCTAACGTAATTGTAAAATAATTGCGTTAACTAAAATTTAATTAATGATAAATTGAAGTATTGCTACGTTAAACTGTTGAATTAAAACTGCACAATCATGATTTTTCGTTAGTTAAACACAATTCTTTAAATAATCACAGGTAAGTTTACGAACGAATATAAGATACAAACACAGTTAATAACAATTTAAATAATTTGCAGATAAGATTTTTTTTTACATTGGAATATAATCAATCAATTAACCAATTTTACTTAGCTAACTTATTAATTGATCAATCAATTTTTCTGCTTGTGTTTCAGCACAATTGGTCCAGTGTTGTCTCCAGTCTCTTCATTGTAAGCATTGTGGCTGCCGTCACAAAGTGGAAACTGTGGTTTGGTAATAGTTTTTTGTCTCTTGAATTAATTTAAATCTGATTAAGTCAGTATAAACGATGTTATTTTTTAATTAATAAAAGGTTTGGTTTCATATTTATTAGGCATTCATTTTGAATGTCTAAAAACCACGTAAATACAAACTGAGCTTTTTATAATTAGGCTCTGAAACCAAAATAACAGTTTGGCCAACCTTTTTGGATCTCCAACATCTGCAATAAGAAACTTTCTCCTTAGTTATGTCTTCAATTTCCACAATGTCAACCACTTTTGCGACATCTTTCTTTATAGATGGATTCATAGCACATGAACGATTGCAGTGAAGTTGACAGCATTTTAGGCTTAGTTTGCTAGCAGCCAGGTGGTACACTGAGTAAGATACCACGCCAACACCACCAGCAAATACTAGCAATTCAATCCACTCTCCAGCTGTTTAAAGTAGAAAATTATTTAAAGGTTAAAATCTTTGAAAATTAATAAAAATTTGAAATGTACTTATGTTCCAATCTATCTATACCAGACACCTTAGCATTAGCCATTAGGATTAGATTATACTAGTTTAATACCCAAAAATATTTTTAGTCATTCAGCACAAAATTCCTGTTCAGTTTATAGATTATAGCACCTGTCTGTTTCATAAACGAAGTTAAAATACAATCTAATTTTATTTTATGCTAGCAGTGAATTACTTTAGTAATTTAATTTTACTTAGATTTTATTACCACTATCTCACTACTTACAAAAGTTACAGGCATCGATTGTTACCTAATTAATTTAGTTAAGAAGTTTGTAAGGGGTAAGAGAATCATTTAGTTCCCAACTTGCAAGAACAAAAAAAAATAAACTGGTAGCAAAACTGATGAACGCACCTGTTAGATCAGCGAAGCCAACGAATCTGTCTGGTATGGGTAGAGCTTCAAAAAAGTTTGGCAGACTTCTTTTGAAAAATAATGAAAGCGTTTCCATGGCTTTAGCAAAAAGTGCAGATTCTAATTTGGTCAATCAAAATTCTCCTAATTCAACGTAATCTCACCTAACCACCCAAACTTAACTGGTTACAAAAATGACACAGGTCAAAAGAGCAATTTTTAATTGAATCTATTTTGATAGATCTGCAAACACTTCGATTTTGCAAAAAGTAAAAAGGTTCTGAAGCACACTTATGAGATTAACTGAGCAATTTCAATTAATTTTACAATGTTTTAATTAGTGAAAAAAATTATTTTATATATATTTAATATTAATTTTTAAAATATGTATATTTCACTGCATTTTATTAAAAATTATAAACTTTTAATCGGGTGTAATGTTTTTTTGGTTACATGAACACCGAGCCAATGAATTCACTTGGAGATTTAGTGCTAATTTTAAAAAAATAAAAAATTAGAATTCGTCGAATTTATAAATTTATATCTGAAAATAAAAACAAAATGGCTTATTCAGAAAGTTCGGATTATCTTGCGCACGTTCGCATGTTAGTTAATCAGGATTTGGTTGAATTCGGATTGTCACCTGTGATAAAACAGCCGCCAGACAACAACGTACCTCCTAACAAATTCTTCAGAAAGTGCAGGAGCAAAGAAGATTCACTGGCTGGTTTTTTTTCATATAATTTCTTTTAAAATTGATTTTTTGGTCAAAAAATTATCAAAGATTTTAATTAAATATTTTCTATAATTTTAAATGACTAATTTTTTCCATATTAAATTATTAATTATTTTTAATATTGTTTGTTGCAGAATACTATCTGTGATACAGTTTTTGGCAATTCACTGGCCTCTGTACCAAAAGTTTCAGTTGATCAGTTTGGATTAGTTCCAAAGTAATAATTATCCTTTTTTTATTCAATTGTTTTCCTCTAATTTTTTCATGATGAGATTTAAATACATTTTTCTTTTCTAGGGTTTTGGTAAATCTTGTTAGTATACTCGACAATCATTTAGAGGTAGAAGGCTTATTTAGAAAAACTGGTTCCATGGCTAGGATGAAAGAATTAAAAGTAATATCAAGTTACAATTGTTTAATTAATTTTATTCATCTGATTAAATAACTTTAAAATTTTTTCTTGTCAGAATCGAGTTGACAATGGAGAAACCTTGGATGATGAATGCAGCCCATTGGATGTTGCTGGTCTGATGAAACAGTTCTTCAGAGACATGCCTGACCCTTTGTTGACCTTTGAACTCTATGACTCCTTCATGGAATGTTTTGTTAATCTTGGCAATGACAATGCAGAATGTTCTGATGTTACCTGCAAACTCTGCTTTTTCCTGCCTGAAGTTAACCTGGCAACAGTTCGTTACTTGATGTCGTTTTTGTCAAGGCTTGCTTCTAAATCTGCAGAGAACAAGATGGATGCCTACAACATTGCTGTTTGTGTTGCTCCTAATATTCTGTTCTCTCTTCAGTCGAAGAAAGAGCTCAAAAAGCCAGCATCATTGAGTGGGGGACTGATGACACCGTCGAAACAAAAACCACCACATGATCCAACAGCTCTCACTTCATACTATGGTTCAACAGAAAAGTTGATTCAAAATGAGACGAAGATTGTTCAGATGCTGATAGAGAATGCAGACAAGTTTGATGGCATATTTGAAACATTTTCACAGAGAATTATGCTCCTGTATAGAGCATCTCAATCATCCCTCGCCTCTGAAACTGATGAGATAGACTGCAATGATGGAGAGGTGGAATTGAATCCTGAAGGAGAGGAGAAGAGGAAGAAGAAGAAGAAGAAGAGGAATGGATCTCTACAAGGTTCACTGCTAATTGCTCCTATTGTTTTTTAAGAGATTTTTATTCTAGTTTTTTAGTTTTATTCTATAATAAATTAAGAATATGAATTTCAATACAACAAACAGATTTTTTAAACTTGAGTTGAAATTTAAAGATTTATTATTCATTTATTGTTATCTAAATTAAAATTATAATCTAACAATTAGCTCTGGTGTCAAATTTGGGATTAAGCTTCACAAAGTTTTGCAACAACCGAAACAGCAACAGTAGCAGCAACCAGAACAACAACAACAAAACCGAGCGGTCATCATCATCGATGGCAGCATGTAACAGTCGAGAGTGCAGCAGTATGACCAGCCTTGAAAAGTCCAGCCTCATCTCCATCTCGTGCTACGATGATAACAACTACCAGTCAGCATCAGCCAGCAACATCAACAGCCACAACAATAACATTAATAACAATGATGATGATACTGATGGACTCGGCGTGGAGGCATACTCGCAGAAAGATTTAATGTCATCATTGTTAAAGGTCAGTCACACACCCAAGTTGATGTCCAGTAAGAAACTGAAGAGGAAGATGACCAACACTGAGGATGTCACTTCTCTTGCTTCAAGTTTTGGCCTGTCTGCTGTTAAGAGGTTTTTTTTTTAAAAATTTTTTACTTTCGATTTTTTTTTTTAGAAAAACATAATTCTTTTTTATATATTCTGGTATCATTTTTCTTATGGCATTCCCTTATTATTATTATTTTTATTATTACTATTATTATTATTATTATTATCATCATAATCATCATTACTATTATCTATTATCAGCTTGTAATCATCCCAATGTTATTATCATCAATGTCTCAGAATTGTTTCAATATCGGCATATGTTACTATGTCATCACAGACATCATTATCACCATCACAATCCTCATCACCATCATCACAATTACCATCACAATCATCATCATCACAATTACCATCATGACGTCATCACTACCACATTTTCCATCATGACATCAACATCAGGAAGGCAATCCTTCAATCCCTTCCCCAACAGACGGCAATGAGGTCCGGTCAGTTCACTCCAAGCACCAGGCATGGTTTGTCTGATTGTCAACTTTTGTTTCATTTTGTTACTACTACTGATATCATTATTGCTATCATCATAGTTACTATCTTGATTAACAAAGATGTACATACATTTGTGATGTACATACATTTGTTAACATTCTCTCTCTCTCTCTCTCTCTCTCTCTCTCTCTCTCTCTCTCTCTCTCTCCTCTTTTTCACACACACACACACACACACACATAACTCCTACCTAATTAGGCAACTTGGATGAGACACCTCATTGCAATTTCACGAAAGACAGCAGTGTTGAGTTTTCTGCCACACCTGTAAACCTGGCATCAACTTTCAGCCACACGGGACATGTACCTACTTCCAAGGCTTCATGGATTAAGAGGTTGGTCTGTATTAGTGTTTTCAATACACAAATGCGTGTACAAACAAAACAAAACTTCTGGTCATATGTACACGAATATGTACATAAAAATAAACACACCCAATCATTATGTATACATATGCACACAAAATCTATGCGTACATAGACATACAAACATACAAACCTCTCACACACACACACATACGTTCATTCACTTACACAAATGTATTGTGCATGTATGCATATACATACATAGGTGCATATGCATTATAACATACACATATGCGCTGTAACCCAAAGTGAACAACGTCAACAATCAACACAATGTTTAAAACAACTTATAAATTCACTTGAGATTAAATTGTGTTCAACTAAACTAATTGTATAAGTCAATTTTTAAGACAGTAATTTAACTCCACAAATAAACAGGTGTTATTGACTACACTGTAATTTAACCTTAAAACAATTTGTATGTAATTTGTTTAACTTTTATAATTAAATACATAAATTTTCAAATCAAATAAATATATTAATAATTACTATTTTTTTTTTGAAACTATTATATAAATTTTAAGTCAAAAACTGCACAAAAAACTATAAAAAAATACGAAAAATAACAGAGACAATTTTATCAACTGCACAGTACAACCGCACAATAAACATACATGTAGGAAAGTATCATTGGGCAAATCAAACTGTTCCCCTAAGAGTTCAAAGAAGGGTAACCACAGTTTCAGAGGATTGTTGAGGAGGCTGAGTGGGAGCAAAGATAGGGATAATGATGTTAGGCCTGGTTGTTGTCGTTGTAGGCTTTGATGTAATGTGGTTTGGGATGTTGTTGGAATGTAACGTTATGTTGTTAGAATGTGATGTGATGCTGTTGCGTTAAGACGAGATGGTTTGTCAGTCTGGCTAGATTGTTGGTTGATCTCTTATTTGAGTTATTTTCCATTCAAGAAAACAAATGAAAAAAGAAAGAGCAACAACAACAACACTGAGACAAGTGTGCCTCAACAAAGAAAGTTCTCATCATTTTTCAGTCGTTCACGCAAGCCGTCAGCGTCGTCGACCACATCAACAAAAACGTTAAAGGGTGAAGACGACAACAACTTCGTCAACAACATCAATAGCAGCAGCAATGCTGACATTGAAAATGCATTAGCACCGGTGCCACTACTGAAAACGAGACTCGAAGATAAGTTTAATCTAGTAGATGAGGACGAGGGCGACGACCTGTTTAATGATAACATAGCCAGCATCCACAAGAAGCACTCCAACAAAACGCTATTCAAGAATATAAAACCTAACAAGAGACGCAGTCTGGACAATTCTGGACAGCAGTCACTTGCAGACTTGCAGAATGTCGAGGGGTTGATCAGATCCAGGGAATCTCCACAGGGCCCTTCAAGAACAAGGGTTTCTAGGTTGAAATGTGAACGGGCAGAATTGAGCGGTGCTGGGCTACAGGCAAACAGTGGCAATTCAAAAGCTACTTGTTACCAGGTTTGTTGTAATTCATTTGTATCATCTTTTAAGAGGAAGGAATTTTATTGTCTTTTAATTACAGTGACGTTGATGGTAAATGAATGATTGAATGAATGATGGGTGATTAAGATGCCAGATTAGTGTTCTAAGTTTTTTTATTCATGTTTTATTTTGAACTATTTTTGTAATGATATTTATAAAATGTGTTGCAGAGGGGCATGAAAATATTTCCAACTAAACTACATCTGCTGAATAATTTATACAACAAGCATTATGATTAGTATATAACAATAATTCGTTGAATAGGACGAAATTGAAGCGAACATCGTGACCGGCGATCCACCATCCCCATCTCAGTCGGACAGTCACATGAAGAGGAGGGCTCGCTCAGTTGAGGTGGCCGACAGGTCGTTGACCTCTCTGGGTGGTAACACCCCACTGAAGCGAGGTCGCCCTAACACGATCGGCAACGGACTCAAGTTGTCGCTACTGGTCCGGCGACAGTCTGCCGATGCCAAATCTGAAGCCATGCTAGCTAAGAATAAAGTTGCTAATAAAAAAAGAGGTAACATTACGTACGGTTGTCATCACGGCAATGACAACAATGACCGCTGTGGTACGTCTGCTGCTGTAGTAGAAAGCGAAGTTGGACAGCGTGAAGAGATTGCTGGTATTTTTGGTACCAGTCCGATATCCAATGCTGATCCCGATCTGATGTTTCCGAATTTCAAAGATGAATGCGATGTTGAGTTTAATGATATCCTTAGAAATGGCAAAAACAAAATGTCTGCTTGTAACAAGAACCTGAAAGATTCTAAATATTGCAGTAGTTGTGTTGTTGATCGTGAGAATGTTTGTCTGCCAGCTGGTCAGGAAGATATAGAAAATGCTACCCTGGGCGATGTGGATGGAGAGCTTAGTGAGAACCAATCGGAAGTTGCGGTTGACGATGACGTCATTGGTAGCAACAACAAAAGAGGTAATGATAACGATTGTACTCCTATCAATGATAATAATAAAGATGATGATAATGATGACGACGACGATGACATTTATAGTGGTAAGGGCAGTGCGGGAAAGGGGGTTGAAACTAGCAAAAGTAAGAGGATTTTTATGCTCTTTTATTTTTTTTTCAAAGTTTATATATATATATTTTTTATTTCCTCTATTTTTAATGTGTCTATAAAACACCTCATTTGATTTTTTCATTGAAGGCGCTCACGATTCTGTTCAAAAATTATACATGATCTTAACATTATTTACTTTGTTTTATGTATTTGATCATTTCAGATGCTATGATAGCCAATGAATGTGGACGTAGAAGTTACGATTCTGGCCTCTCCGACATGGCCCCATGTGACCACAGCAGCCACCAAACAACGACATCTACAACTCGGTCAGTAGCAGCAACAAATTTGCAACACGGACAACAGCGCAACAGTCTACTGAGTCCAGACAGTGGGCTGGGTCTTGGTCCGAGAAATTCATTGGATGGGTTTGAATCCCCACGTTGTGACGATAAATATTATAATCAGAATAACTTCTCCACTACTCTAACACCATCTACACTCAAAAAGTCAGCCTCGTCAACTGACGGAGGACTAACTGAGAAGAAGAAGGAGCAGGCTGAAGAGCAACTAACGACGACAAATAATCTCGCTGAAGATTCATTCAATGAGAGTATGATACACCCACCTCCACTAAATAATGTAGAAAATAAAAAGAAAGCTTCATCGTGCACGTGCGTCAATCAGAGCAGGAGTGGCCTTGACCTTGACGTTACGAACGCCAACAGGGTAGGTCGGT